CATTTTCACTAGATGCAAATGTGCTCAGAAAATTATTATAGATGGTAGGCGACATCATAAAGTCTATTGCCATACATTTTTCGCCAAACACCTCCCTATACACATTATAATCTGTATATATGTTAGACTTTAAGGTATCTATCTATGGGCCTACGTTCCCTGACTATAAATTAATAAAAAAAAATGGTTGCCTGTAAAGTCGGTTTTACGGGCGAAGATTTTACGTGACAACGTCTTTTTCTCGGTAGAATATTTATTGATATGAATATAATTAAATTGCACAATAGGAACAAGGAATTGAATGAAAATAAGAATTGCACAAATTTTAACTATAGAAATATATTTTGTTTACTAAAACATTGTACATGTAAACTTAAACTTAACACGAGAGACTCATCGTAACGTTACCGAGCGTTACACTTTTTCATAAGTGACTCCCAGCCGCAACCTAATTTAAGACGTTGTCACGTCAATAAATAAAATTATAAGGTGTGATACACTAAAAATCTAAAATATGGTTATCTTAAAAACATAACAAAAATAATGAAGCTACTAAATATATGGCTATAGAACCTAAATCTCTTAGCTTTCTTTGGTTAACGAGAGTTTAAAAATTCTCTCTAATCTGTGGCTCATTCACAATCATCACATAGTTTCTGTCACAGAGTACCTTGTTATAACCGGAAATGACACCTGATTTTAAAAGTTACTCTTATGCATTAACTTTAAAAACAGGCAACTATCTGTTAATCTACATGCTCTATATACCTGAATCTAATCCATAATTTCGGTACTTGGCTTGATTTCCTTAGTTTACTATATAACTTATTTGTTTTTTATTATTTTAATATGTTCAGTGTATATGGTTTATAGAAGTTCTCAGGGGTGTCCGTCAATAATGTTCATTTCTTCAGTAATTTATATATAATTTCGAATATAAGAAACAATTTTTCATGATTATTGGTCTTTAGGCCAAACTTGTATGGAAGCTGAGCAATCTCCTTTTCGATGGACGACTGTCGAAGTAATTAGATATTTGACATTTGTCAGAAATCCGATTGAATGAGAATAAGTGAGATTGCATCTTACAGAATATATATTCTGGTCACGAAGGACAAAACTCGTAAAAAAAAAAACTAGAAAACCACGCTTTCATAAATGCACGTAAAAACCAAAAATAAATTATGAATCGTTCAAGTTGTCTGTATTTCTGGGTTGAAGTGTAAGCTATGTGCTTTTACTTATATTATTTGATAGTAAAAGCGTGGGGCGCTGGAACAGGAAATGTCTTTCGTGTAACAGGTTGTATAGCTCAACTGGAGTTGCAACACGACTAGTATTATTCTATTCATTATAATGATGAATATCGCATTACTAATATATTGATTTCTCAGCGAATTATACAAAAAGTCTTTCTTGTTCCAGCGCCCCACACTTTTACAATCAAATATTATAATTAAAAGTACATAGTTTACACTTCAGCCTAGAAATAGAGACAACTTGAACGATCTATTATTTATTTTTGGTTTTTACGTGCATTTATAAAAGCGTGCTTTTCTAGTTTTTTTTTAACTATTAATTTATTTTATACTTTTTAATAACGAACTTCTTTGATAACGAAATATTTTTAACATTATACGTTTACGTTTACTCTCCATCTCCGCCAGTGCGTCTGTATTGCATGGTATTTTAACTGTCAGCTTAGAATAATCTAGCTCTTCAATCTGGAGACCACTAAGTGATTTTAGGACCACATACACTTGTCCAGCCGCAAAAGTACGGGACCCTAAGTGGTGGTCTACCGTTCGGCTTTGCATCTTGTGCACAGCAGATGCCCAACTTAAAATTACTTGGCCGGGAACTGGATGCCTATAGGTTGAATTAGGTGCTCACCGTCGTTTTCGAAATTATCTTTGAAGGACGATATGTCAGTTTCATACATTTGGTCGCGTCTAAAGTGCGGCCAGACGATGTGCGAGATGAATCCGATACTCCCATTCACTACCCTATTTACACGTCAATATACATCGTATATAGATATATCAATATTATTCTATTTACACTGTCCATGTACAGGTCTATATATATTTTATACAGGCACCTATGTCAATATTTACACTATTTACAAGTCAATATATAATAGGTTTGTTATAACCTTGAAACCTGATCGTGTTCAAAGTCCATTACGTGGCCTTTCTCACAAGTGCAAACACTACTATGATTCGATATTCCATCATGCAATGCCAGTGTCTATCTTCCGGCTTCATCATCAGATCTTGAAACCTAATCGTGGTCAAAGTGCATTACAAGACTTTTCTAGGAAATCCAAAAACAGCTATGATACGATGTTCCATCATGAAGTTCAAGTTCATATCATCCAGCTCCATCATCATATCAGTTCGACAGTACCATATTATTGTATTGTCGTCAGAACTACATACAGCTGCCAATTTTCATTACGCTAAGATCCTTGAAAGATGGTTAAATTAATTACCTTAGATTCCATTACATAGTTACACATACAGGTCGACGTAATAAAAGCGTGTTAAAAAGAATTGGCTATCAGTAAAAACTTTATAGAACATAAGTTCCTTAGAATAAATAAGTCAGTCTATCCATTTCCATTCTTATTTTTAATAAAACATTTTTTATCACCGAAAAGGAGTGGCGTCCGACCAGGGTAAAATCAACCGTCGGTACATTGACAGCCTTCAAGGCTGTCAATGTCATAAAGGCTAAGTAGAACCTACACCCAAATTTTGGTGCTAAACGGTGCTGTTTGGTAGATTTGCTGGGAAACCGTGAATTGACTGGACTACTAGCCCCCATCCGCCAAGTCCGTACCGTCCGAAAAGGAAGTACGTTTCAAAATAAATATCTATGTGCAATACATTTAAAACAGCATGCTTAAGTTAACATAACGCAATCTTAAACATTTGAATTAATTATTTTTTCACTTATCCGAAAGAAACAAAAGACGCACGCACCAAAGTTCTTTTAGCAGAGATAGAATGAGGCTTAACAATAACAACATTAGATTAAAGTTGACTGGGCCGGAAAAAATATATTAAAAATAGATAGTGTGTAAATATTAAAGTATGTGGGCACCACCCGTTTACGAGTATATTGAATTCTTTTTTTTAATCACTCTTAAAAAAATATGAATTTTCCCTGTGGGTTTACACAAGTGGCATACTTTATATTCCAATGAACGATAACGCTAACTTTAAAGTTAAAAAAGCAATATAGCTTACTTTTAATCTTTAACTCGAATAGAAAAAAAGATGGCCGCTTGTCTATGGCATTTGGACGGACTAACTAGATCGAATTTTACTGTAACGCGGTCGAGTATTGCAACATTTCTTCGTATTGACGGTCAACGATCCGATATTAAATGTTTTCTTACAATTGGTTAGTTAGGTTCTTTAAATGGTTTCAATAAGACTATTTTTTGTGCATCCCCATGGCAAAATTTATATCATGGAAGGAGTCGCTGACGGTTATGACACAGTTAATACTAGTACAGCCGTCAACGAACCTCCTATATGTGAATTATATTTAGGATTTAATTCCTCTAATTAGTATATAAGAGCAATAGTAACTTTTAAGAAAAATAAACCATTATTATTATATACCGATCCGCCCAGCCGCTGCATAGTGCAGACAGCGCACCTACGTAATGTGAGCTGGGATATCGCAAACGAACAGACCACCAATATTATTAAATATAAAATAATTTAATCAATACGTGCGTAGAGTCTGTGCGGAACTAACATTAATATTTTTATTTGGCAATCAAACCCAGCAATCTGTAAAAAATCAAAGTTTTGTATTGATACGGATTTGTTTGTTGTTGTGATTTCTTACGGTTTTTTGTATTTAATCATGTCTAAAAGGGGTAAAACCTTACAAATACGGTAGAAAAGCACTACAGCGCCCTGCAATCTAATCCCTTTTTTTTTAATTTATTCAGTAATACACACAATACACAATTAAATTTTCACATTCTCTTTCCGCAGACTCTACACGTTACCTTGCGGTCAATATCTTTTGTAGGGTAGAAGGAAGAAAATGGTTTCGCATCAGTCTAATTCCTTCACAAACATCCATTATGCTTTGCACTCCCACAGTCCCTTCAACTCTTGGGTATCCATAATGTTCTCCGCCATCTTGTAGGTAGCAACACGATCCCATTGCTATAGAAATTTTGCAGCTTTTGTTTAATAAACCACGCCAGGTAGTTTTGGCAGTTCTCTCTTGATGTTAACCTAACACTGCCTAAAGAATTCTGAAGAGAACGAAACAGGTGAAAATCTGAAGGTGCAAGGTCAGGACTATACTGGGCGGATGCATTGACACCTCTCAGTCAAACTTTCTTAATTTTTGCTGAGTGGCTAAAGATGTGTAAATTCCCATCGTTATCATGATGAAAAACCACACCCCTTCTGTTTTTTAATTCGGGCCACATTCTCTCAACTTCTTGCTTTAATCTCATCAGTTATTCGCAGTACAGTTCAGAATTGATGGTCGGGCCTGGTGGTAACAGCTCATAATGAATAGCGCCCTTCCAATTCCATCATTCGCCCAGCATCACCTTGTTGCGAGTTAACCCTGGTTTCGTCAGAGTTTGTCAGATTCTTCAAAAATGGTTCGGTCTCATTACGTGGTAATAAAGAATCACAAAGTACGGTTAATCTGCGTTGATTTGATCCCCTTCTAAGATGATTTCTGAGATTAAAACTATCCTTTGTCCTTTCCAACAACAACTTATATCTATAACAAATTTCATCTTAATCGGTTAAGCGGTTTAAGCGAGAAGAGGCAGCAGATAGGCAGACATACTTTTGCATTTATAATATTAGTATGGAATATCTTTCGGACATTATGCGCGTACATACATTTGGGCGATATATTTTTATTTTTAATGATTTATTAAGATAATTAACCGCATGTTTGATAATTTGCCGTATTAAGTTAAAACATAACCATTTACGTTACAGGTATTAGCGGTTGTTGTTGGCGCCGTCTCGGCGGACGTAAGTCTAGGGTACCACTACAAAGTACCGCATACCTCGTATGGGGTACCTTCCTATCAAGTTGACAACAATTACAACACCGCCTACTCAAGTGCCGGTGCATCCAATGTTTACAAAGGCCCATCTGGATATCAAGGACTATCAGTTGGACAAAATGGTGGTTACCAAGGAGGATATGCTGGGCTTCAAAGTGGAGTCGGTACTAGTTCTGGACTCCAAAGCACTGGCTCGGGTACACAATATTATCAAGTTCCCAGCTCCGGTAGCTCTAGTGTTATCGCGAACACCCTTCTGCAACCTTCTTACCAGTACCAAACTCAGTATCAACATAAATACCAACAACAATACCAAATCCAGCAACAGCCTGCCCAAGTATTCAAACATTACTACGTTCATGCTGCTCCTGAGGAACCTGAACCCGCTCGACCTCGCAATCCAGTAGTATTACCTGCTCCACAAAAGCATTACAAAATTATTTTTATCAAAACCCCAGTACAAACTGCAGTGGCTCCTCAGTATATTCCAGTCCAACAACAAAATGAAGAAAAAACCATCGTTTATGTTCTTGTAAAGAAACCTGAAGAATACCAGGATGTCGTAATACCAAAAGTGGAGCAGAAGCCTCCTTCTAAGCCAGAGGTATACTTCATCAAATACAATAGCAAAGAGGATTCTCAATCTGTAATTAACAACATCGTTAGTGACTTCAGCAACAAAGGTCAGTCCGCGAGTTTCAGCAGCGTTGGAGGTGATGCCTCATCTGGATCCTTTTCTGGTCAATCTGTGCTTGGTTCCGGGGTGTCTTCTACCAGTGCTGGATCTGGTTCCGGTTTGATCACCGGAGTTTCTTCTGCGGGTGGTTTCGCTGAACAGCCAGATGTAGGATCCGGCCAAATTGCAACTACCCAAACCGAAAACGAGTTAATAGCAAATTTCGGATCTCCCTTCGGACAATCGGTACAGAGTGACACACAACAAGCTAGCTTTGGTTCTGGATTTGGTAGTGGAACGAGTGGAGTGGGAAGTCTTAACTTAGCTGCAGTGGAGACAAGTGATAACGGCGCTTCTAGCGCATTCTCGTCATCGACTGCCAATTACGATAGCGTAAACACGATTTCTACTAGTCAAGGAGTACCCCATGAAACATATGGTGTCCCCAAATTCAAAGTAAAATAGGTTTTAAATTAAGTAGATGTAAAATTAAACAAACCTTGTAAAATTAAAAAACTCTGTAACATCGATATCGATATGAATGACTATTTGTTAAAATTATAATAAAAGATGAAAACAATTGTTTTATTTTATAAACTAATTTTAGGAGACAACCAAACAGAAATAAATTATTTGCCACCATGCAGGCCGGAGGTTCAGTTCAAAGTTTCATATTTCCATATTATATTCATACACTTATTAAAGGATGATTAATTCAACTGTGTGAGAATTTAAAGTGTCATCCTAAATAAAATAAGTAATATCACTTGACCACAAATAAACTGGGATAGCCGCTAGTACCTTGGAACTCTGAAAACTATAAAACATAACTATCAAAGCTATATCTACAAAAAGTGGGTTAAAAGAAAAACTTTATTCAAGTATTGTCAATTTACTCAATGATTATGCAAAAAACACAATGCTAACAATTTGCTAATTTTTGAAAGAAGTTGCGATTATCGTTGTTTTTTATAAAATGAAGATAGATACTTCTTATCATTTCTTTAGTTTTCGTCCATAGTTTTCTCAGACGCGTGTATTTCTGCTACGTTTTATACTACCAATTAATGACACCGACTCTTCTTTGGAAAATTCTAAATAGCAGCATTTTACCTGAAATAAAATGCATATTAAAATACTTACCTCACTGAAAGCTTAATATTGAGATAGCACTTCCGTTTCCCGTCGAATTACCATCAGTTTCCGTACTTTTAATCACCTTATATCCGGTCCAGTGGCGACACCTGGCAGAAGCGCGGCCATTTTTGTTTTCCTAAGTTTTGACAGCGCCATATTAACTCATTGGCTCAATTATTTCACCAGGCAGAATTTAAAGTGAAAGCTTTCAGTGAGGTAAGTATTTTAATATGCATTTTATTTCAGGTAAAATGCTGCTATTAAACTACTTGACCGTCACTGAAAGCTTTATATTGAGACCTGTTTGTTATCGCCTGGTGATCGCCACGTACATAGATATATACGCCAATGTGACAATTTATGATAAATTTAAATATTAACATTTATCAGATTATATGAAACTGTTTATAGAAACGAAAAAGCTTAAAAATGGATCAAATAACATTATTTGAATCCCGCCTTTATTTTCTTCACGCTTACGAAGCTGCTTTAACATATGTATTAGCTGATTGCTATATTTCTTTACTTAAACTTGCTTACTTAATTATATATATATTTGCTTTCTTAATGACCGGACGCTTCCTTGTGTAGCATTTATTTGTATCTTTGTTTATCACAAAAAGGCGTAGGAATGCGAGAAAAAGAAGTAAAGTTGTTCGATACTGAGCCTTACATTTTACAAGACTGCACTTTTTTCTTAAGTACCAAAATTCAGGGTCCCATTTACGATTACCAGTATTCGGTACATGTCACCAATCGGATTGTCTCTAACTACTTTCACCTGTTTTGAACCAAAACAAGGCTAAAACTAATCTTCGTCGGTACCAATACAATGATTCGGGTTAATTTGAACGAGGAACAAGTCATGTGTACCACATGCTGAACCAAATAATACGCAGCATAATTACTGTATGATGTTCAGAACAACAATTAGTATGACGAGGTATTTGAAACAGATCATTATGATGTAACGAGTACATTATTGAAGAAAAGGAAATAAGTTAACTTATAGATTCTCCAGAATAGTGGGTTACGGACAGATTCTTTAAAAACAATCGACTTTAATATATGTGTTTGCCAAGACAGGTAAGCTTAGGTAATTAGACTTATCATCCATTGGTATATCATGTAAAAACTACCGACTTATTTAAAATAATAGTACTTATTTTGAGATAAGTCACGTGTTAAAAATAAGTCTCAAAAATCGTGTCAGCTCAGATCCAAGTCCACAACCTGCGGGATTATTCCGATAAACATTCTTGTTCCTAGACCAATGCAACCACGCAAGCCAGCGTTTTCGAGCCATCTGATACAGACAGACAGAGCTGTCGCTCTTTGTAGAATATGATGAAAAGCGTAGTGCTAGCATATCTATATGATTGGAGTGGAGATTGAAGTGAAGTGGTAGAGCCGTGTTCTTCAATTATACTTCCCAAGCTTTCATATTAGATTAGATTGGCGGGAAGTGATTGCAAGGTCGATTGCAGTGAATACATAATTATTGTTAGAAGTAGGGAGTGGTTGATACAACCCCACTCAATGACAAAAATGTTGAAACCGATCAACTTCTGAAGTTTACTCTTTTACAACGAAATTCTCAGGTATAGTTTTTATATTGTTGCAGGGTTGCCGTGATAAATTATGCTATTACGAAGTTTAGACCAGATTTTATGAAATTCATTTGCCATCCGGGAATCTATAATTGATTATAATTTTTCCTTTTGTTTTTTCATTTCTTATATCAAGGTCATTTATATGTATTAGTTAATACTTAATAAAGATTAAGTTATCTATAAGATTTACACAGCTTACTTGAGGTGTGCATGTAGTATGCGTAGGGTTTAAAGTATATTTATTCCAGACAATCGTGGCAAGGTGAGAAAGCGTAAGTTTAATATTAAGAACAGTTTTCAGTATTTTTTACTAAAAATAACATAAAGTGGATAATTGCATACAATGATCTTCAAAACCTTTCAAGAATTTGGTAGATCGTGCAATCTTTCTTCAGTACATAGCACCACTTATATATCAAAATGATCATGTTGACCATCTCAGACACCTCATACACGACATTTCCAATATTGCATGTTTGCTTTTGCATTTGGTTTGCTTTTGTTATTTTCAAGGGAAAATATGTTATCATCTATCTATCTGGCAGATAGTCCTTAAATTGCAGAAAAGTTAGAATTCTTTACATTTTTATAGTGCACTGCTGCACTTGAGATTGGAGTTTGATATATATTGGATCTAGATAAACAAGCTTTTGAATGGCATGCTATACCACCAAATTTATTTAAGAATTATTTGTGGTGCTCCCAATTTACCAATTCTCCTGCACTATATTTCAAACATTAATTGTTTCGACATTCCTTTTCCTTTTGAAATTATTACAGCACGTCCTTGATAACTATATTACGGTAGAACAACCGTAGTGATCGAGTCTACACTTCACACCAATTAGCCTAGCCTCTTAATAGGCATTGAAAGGCTTGTGTTATGGGCTAACGCATAGAAATGCATAATGATGATGCATAGATTAGTATGATTTTGAATAAATATGTGTTAACAACCAAGACTTAGGCACCGATGCTCGTTTTTATCATACAATGATTTGCCCCACCGGACCTCTGAGTATGCGACACCTTAAAAACCAGTGTACATTGCACTTCACAACGGGGTACATCAACATTCGATCTTCGATCTTTCTAGTCTATTAAGAGGGTAGTTTATAACCGATACTTATGTGTGTACGCAAGCCATGAGCGGCTATGTTGCGTTGCGTTGATGTATAGATTTCCACACGATGGAAGTAATGAATTATGTCAAGCGATATTTATTATATTTTCAAATTACTTATTTTTAATGTTTCGAATCGTTTGCACTTTTACAGACCCCATGGTCATAAAAATAAATTATGAATAACGAATAGACAATATGTTAAATTATGCATAATTTGCTCCACTCGAGTGTCGTATGTTACCGGTGCTTACATAATAGTACGAACTCCATAAGCGAACATGTCCTAAGGAGAATATATATCGAGCTTCACGTAATGGAAATAATATATTATGTGTGATATGACCCCACAAGGGCGATTATAAGATTGATGAGGATATTCTTCCATCAACGATTTGTTACCGATACTTGTATGTGTAGGCCAGCCATGGAAAACATGTCCTTATTCATAAAGAGTTCCATGCGGTGGAAGCAAATTATACATAATATACCCCCGCGAGGGGCGGTCATTAGAGTTTTGGTAATATGTACCCCGGGAGGGTGGTTTGCTACCGGTAGGAAAGGCATTAGAGGCATTTCATAAGGTTCCACCTAGTGGAAACAAATTGTATATAATATGCACCCCGCGAGGGTGATTTGTTACCGGTACTCGTATATGTAGGCAAGGCATTAGAGGCATTTCATAAGATTTCACGTAGTGGAAACAAATTATATATAATATGCACCCCGCGAGGGTGATTTGCCACCGGTACGTGTGTAGGTACGCCATGGGAGGGCATGTCCTGACACGACTTGGGCTTCATGAGATGAAGCTTATTATGAGCTAAGCTATCACTGGCTTCTGCGTGAGTTGCTCATTAGGTTGATGAAATGTCAATCACTTAAATCCATGACAAAATATAATTATAAGTATAACTTTATACGAGAAAAACAACCTCAAAAGCTCTGAATCATTATGTGGTGATTGGATGGTGGTGCTTCATCACAGAGATCACTAACTTCTTAAGCAGTGCTTTAATTTTTTCTTTTTAGCTTTGTGCCCTCAGTAGCTGTAAAATACCTCAGAAACGATTCTGTTATCTTATCACTTTCGTTAATAAAATTAACTGAGCAGGTGCCTTCCCGCAATGATTAATTTTTATTTTAAAATATGCGTTTGCTGAAAGAAAATTATTGTCAGGAACGTGATATATCATAAATTATCATCATACTTCTTTACCTCATTGTTTGTTTCCAGGTTGATAAAGCCTGGACTATGATTATAATTTTCAATTTACATCAGCATATCATTTAAAATAAACGTTGAATGTCTTTCGAACAGAGCCTTCCTTTATCCTAGTTTAGTCACACGACTCACATGAGTATATTTATAACGTGTATTGGTCAGTAAAATGTTAGAACTTTTTATTCATAAGCCTTTTGATATTGATAGCTGGCCATGTTCAGAAAACGGCACATCGACATTACAAATACCTTATTAAGATTGTACATAGTTCACTTACCCCTCGAACAATCTTTTAATAAAAGGGCTACTTTTCTTAAGGCAGCGATGCCGCTTTCGTTATACCAGAAGACGACAAATTCAAACAATTATTACTGCAGCTGCTCGAAGAACAATTATGACTAGATCCACACATATTGCTGCTTTTGCCATTAAATGCTAGTCAGTCGGCGGCTGAAATGTCAATATCGACCGATGTCCTTCACTCTAAACTGTAAAATAATTTAATTAAGTATTTTGTAAAACATTTACCAATTTACTTTTACACTTACTTATACGGAAACATTAATTGAGTACCAAGAGAAAACACTCTTAAAATAGTTTTAATTACAAACGACCAAGACGGTCGTAAAGTATTGCAAAATTTACTTTAATGTAGGTACTTTAATTTTTTAAACAAAACCGCACCTTGAAACACCGTCCAGTTTTACTCACGGCTTATTATTATTTTTAAAACAAAGGTGTTGCACAATTTAACATATTTGTTTGAAATATCCCTTATCACAAGGGCTGCAAAAACTATCAAAAAGGATAATAATTTTACTTACGGTTCCTTCACTTTTAATACGTAAAGTACCTATTTGGAATAACACGAACGGCAAAAACCGTTAAATAAAATAGTTTTACTTACAGTTTTATCACTTAATAATAATAAAACCTTTAAAATCTCACAACGATCGCTCAGATTGAGCGCGTGTTGCTTCGACGGGAGTCAGAACGCCAATGAGTTAATATGGCGCTGTCAAAACTTAGGAAAACAAAAATGGCCGCGCTTCTGCCAGGTGTCGCCACTGGACCGGATATAAGGTGATTAAAAGTACGGAAACTGATGGTAATTCGACGGGAAACGGAAGTGCTATCTCAATATAAAGCTTTCAGTGACGGTCAAGTAGTTTAATCAAATATTAATAAATAGATTAACCTCGAAAAAAAACCCTGTTCATTTTAATCATCATGAATCGAACTTTCTGTAGGTATAAATATGATAGTTGTAAGTTTTATACGTTTTGAAAAAAACAAATATTATTTTTTCGATATGAAATTCGCATCAATTAAAAAAATCAAGGTGTTTGGTTCCTTATTATGCTTATCTAAAATCTACTACTATTTAGATTTATGCTGCTATTAATATTGTTTTGGCAAACACGTTTAGTTATTGAACCGAATAAAACGTGAATGCTATGTCGTCATAGTATTTAGATGCATGAAGACTGTAGGATCCTACGCAAGAGGAACGCCAGCCAGCACCCAGCTGGATATATTGTTTTGGATTGGAAACGACCAGTTGCAATCGAAATTGGCACATTATTGGAATTTTAATAGCAAGCCCATCCGCATAACTCCGTGACGTTATCTTGATTTATAGTTACTCTCCAGTGTACGGGCCAGAACAACATTGAGAGTGGTTAATTTTACTGGTAATGCGCCGGAGCGATAGTATTTCATTCATGATGTGCATTGTTTATGAATGGCGAGTCTCTATTTCGGGGTAGTGGCGCGTGATGGTTTAATATCGTACGTACATTAGGAGTTAATTGACTGGATATTCTTGGATGCACTCTCTGACGCCAGGAACAAACTTATCGGTATGGAAGCGAACATTCCTCTGCGTGGATAATATTATATTTTATTTTAAATATATATTTTAATATTGTCTTTTGGTTTCTTAAACACTTAATTTAGTTGAAGTTTAATATTATATTTATTTAATTAAATCATTGTTATTTTGTGTATATATAGATATGTAAAAATGTGGCAGTATTAGGGTTGCAACGATATATCGGAATATCGATAATAACGAGACCAAAATATCGATATCTATATCGATATTTAAAATTCACTGATATCGATATCGGAAATTCCAAAATATCGATCTTTCGTAGACTAAAATTGGAACACAATAATATCAATTAATTTACCTGCTATGACTATCTAAATTGAATAATATCGAAATAACTATTGCTTTGAAATCGCAAGAGCTTAAAGATGTATTAAAAAAAATTTAACCCCAAGAAATATACTAAACTGGTGTGGATTGTGGCATGATTCTCTATACCTAAAATTAAATTTGACAACAGTGTATCCTTGTTATTCTCTATACAGAATGAAAACGAGAGACTAATGTTAAATTTAGTTTTAAGTTTAGATAATCATGCCAGAATCGACACCAACGTCTATAGGTATAATCGTATACCTAATGGTATCTCATACACTTAAATAAAATCCTTGCCTCTCTTTCTAGATAATTGTCAACTACTGATTAATTGAAATTTAATATCATTGCAATATAACACAAAATAAAATTAAGAATCTTATACAAATCGTAATTTTTTTAAGCTCGCCAAGTCAAGAAAGTAAGATAGGTATAGTAATTTTGGAAGCTTTGGGCTTACCCTATTCTGACATATAACCGACATAGCTTGGAAAATCTCGAATGTAGTGAAAACTTAGCGAAGGCATTCGCAAATGTCGTCCCACATATGCGGGTTGGCGCATTCGTCCTAACGAATGTGAGTGATCTGATCAGGATAATAATTTTAATTTTTTGGTTTCCTGTCGTTGCTGAAACACAAACCGTGCGCGCCAATAAAAAAAATCCTGCTTGGCGCGATTTCATCAAGCGTGTTTAACAAAAAAGCTGGCTCAATGCATTTTGCGAGAAACTCGCCAACAAACAAATGAATGTGTCACACTCACCCCGTTTTCTAATGTATATAAAAAAAAATATCGATAATATCGAGTTAAAATGGTCGATATATCGGATATCGATATTTTCCTGACTTCGATATAAACATCGATATTTCAAAAGATCTGCATCCCTAGGCAGTATGAAACAAAAAAAATCAAAACTTATATTTTTGCTATTAATGAATATTATACTGCCCCATTCAGGTGGGTTGGAGAAATTGTTGTTTTTTGGATAAAATGAAAGGTAATATTCGACGTAGGTCACACAAACTATAAGCAAGGCAAGCATTGATTTTATATTTATTAAGGTTTCACTTATCATCCCATCTTTAACAACTTCAAGACAAATATATTAATTCTAGGTGTTCTCTGTTTCTAAAAATATTTTTGAACATTTTATTTTATCGTAATCATAAATAAACATTTGCTGTAAATATAAAAGTACTTTTTTTACCGCATTGTTTGAGTTTTTACGTACAAGACGAAGCCATAATTTTATGTAAAATAAAATATTAAGATTGCACATATTTATTACCAATAAAAAAAAATACATGTTGTGCTAAAATGAAAGTAAAATCAAGCTTACTCTACAATTTATTGGTTTTACATATAAGCCAAGCAATATCGGTGAATTCTCTAGTGCGATTAAAATGCAATGCCTGTGAACCACATCCTGAAAAATGTTGCATAGGTACGGCGTTTTTAACAAATTTGATTTTAACTACATCGTTTTGTGCTTTGTCCTGTCAATATGTCAAAGATGTTTTTTTTTCTATTTTTTTTCCAGCTTTCTGTTCTACAACTTTTGACTGGAGTTGTGATTAACTTCTTCCTTCTAATTATCAGGGGGGAAATCCATTGACTCCTCCACCACGTGTCTGTTTGCAAGGCTGTTCTGTCCATCGATGAGGCTAAGGGGCGCCCTCCGCCGAAGCCTCTTGACACAGTCGTCAGTGCTAATAAGGCATGATGCCATATCATTAGGGTGTGATTTGATGCGTGAACTATAACGTTTGACCACTTCTTCTATTTCTTCTTAAACATTTGGTACTCCTAAGTCTTTGTGTAATTGATTATTTGATATGTACTACGGAGCATCAGCAATCATACGCAACGTTTTAGATTGAAACCGTTGTATTATTTGTACGTTTGAAGCAGAGGCAGTACCCCACAGCTGCAGTCCGTATGTCCACATTGGCTTCAGTACGCACTTGTATATTAGTAATTTGTTCTCCAAAGAAAGTTCAGATTTGCGGTTCATTAGCCAAAATAGATTTCTTTCCTGGAATCCCAGAGCTTTCCTTTTCGTGAAGATGTGGTGTTTCCATGTCAGACGTCTGTCCAAATGTAATCGGAGTTATCTGGCGATTTCTGCTTGAGGCAAAGGTATGTCGTTAAGAAAAACTGTGGGGCACGTATCATGTCTCAGTGTGAATGTTACATTGACAGATTTTGTTTCATTTGCTCTAATACGCCAGTCTTTGAGCCAACAAGATACTCCATCCAGACTTTCTTGCAGTATTTTAGATGCTACCACTGCATACTCATGACTAGCAAGTATAGCAGAATCGTCAGCAAATATGCCAACCAGAACTGCGTCATTAGATGGTAAGTCCGAGGTGTATAATATGTATTGTTCGCGCCTACTCAAATGTTCGCAGCAAACCCGCACATAACAAGCTCAAGGATTTAATTATATATAAGCATGGACGTATAAAAAAAGGTGGACAGAGTTTCGGCTAAGACAATACTGAGGCACCGTAATGGCGGCGGCTATTGATGAGTGAGTGAATTGAAGGGTTGCTAGGTTAGCCAATTTTTTACCAATAAACCACAGTAAAAACATGAAAATATTTTGATTGTTCAAAATTTTACTTTTTGCCCGACTGCGGAGGATAATGTTTTTCGAGCGTATGTATGTCCAATATTCATTTTCCAGTAATTTCTCCATACTACATTTTCTTTAGGAAATCTGATAAAAAGAATAATAAATAATAGATTGAAGTTAATGTCAACCCAATTTCCCATATTTTAGGTAATATGGTTACATGAACATTGGCAACACTGGGCTTTAGACTAATCATTTTGTCCTTAGAATTAAAATTGATTTCGATTTCTAAAAACTAGAAAAAAGTTATTCAATTATTCATTTACGTATGAAACGTGATTCCTGGATTTTTTTCCTTTCGGTCACTACGGTTTTTAGACCTTTTTACAAGCAAGATATCTTGTTTAGCTTATTTTTTATCTCCACGTAACGTGTCGGCTGCTTTGACGTTTGCACGCGTAGTGACTGACTATTGTGTGAATGTGTGCGTGCCGGCTTGTACGTACAGCGACCTGGCCGACTCTGAGCGACACAGTTTATTGTTTACCAGGACTCTGTCCGCCTTTTTTACCCGGCTGCGCAATGCAAGAGCGCGAAGCGCGACGCGCAGACAGGGTTATGTGTTTAACAGTCTATATATGTATGTTTGTTCCTTTGTGGCACACTAGAGACCAAACGCCTGGACCAATTTTGATGATTCATACATCAATCGATTCGTCTCAATCATGGGAGTGCTACTAAAGATATGATAGTAATCAAAATTCAATATGGGCAAAATTAGGCGCCATATTGTGCCGAAGTAAAAAAAAAAAGTTGACAAAATATGTCGAGTGGGGTATCACTGTCTAGATAATCAAAAATTATATTTAGGTTCCCAACACCATTTTTCATTTTATATGATTGTTTAGGATCTACAACGCTTTAAAGTTGTATATTAACCACTTACGCTTTTAATTTCAATCTAACGTTTGTATGGATCTTTGTTACTCTTTCACCTAAAAAAATACTGAATGGATTTTAATGAAACTTAACAGTAATATAGCTCATATATGATAATTACATATATATACTAATTTATGTAGTTATTGAGTGAATTGGCCAATATATAGCAATAAGTGTCACATAAGACGGAAGAAAATGTGCCATCTGCGAGCCATTTTGGCCTGCACTGCAAAAACAATAAAAGTTACATGAATGTAATGTATAGTGAAAATGTATCTCTTAAATCGTTCTAAAAAAAGTCCACGACTTATTATTATTTATAATGTGTAAGTCATTACCGCTAAAACAGTGAATCAAAACTAAAATATTATTTAATATCTATTTCCATAATGCATATTTTGTATTAACAAATCATTTTTTATCAAAACAAATACTTTAATCGCTTTTGATATTTAAAGACGATAAACTTTGCTTTTTACACTATGTCATTTCGACAAATATTTAAAAAGTTACAACGATGACAAAGTGATAGCGCGGTGTACTATGTAAAAGAAAAAAAAATGGGGTATTCGCAGTATCTGATCCTATACGAAGTACTAACATTAAAACTGTGATACAGTTCCTTCTTATTAAATGATGAAAAATATATTATCTTAATAGGTATTTATGATTATTGATTATTGAAGAATTTTACTGTTTTTCATTTTTTTAACGATATTACTTAAGGTTACAAAAAAGGTTTACTTAATATAATGACAAATAACCCATTTTTCGCTAGTAAATACATACTTATTGGAATCCCTGTATTTATTAATCAGCTCGCGATAATATTGGTTTTGTAATAATTCTGCAAAATTCAAAGTAAATAATGTAGATTTTTATAGGTAAATCACCCCTTTCATTACCCTACTCCTATAAGTATTGCGATGTTGTAGCTAAGAACCAAGTTCCCATCTACTTCTATATGGGAATTCATTATATTCGATTTAGCTATTAAGGCACGGAAGCGCAACAAAAAAACTCACTTTCGCATCTATAATATTATATTATACTTACTAGTGATCCACCCGGGCATTGTACGGGCGAAATTTATTTATCGGAATAAAATATAGCCTATGTCACTCGGACAAAATGTATTTTCAGTTTCAGGTTCAGTAGTTTGACAGATTCTTTCTAACAAACATACAAATCTTGCCTCTTTATAATATTAGTATAGATAGTTAGGATAAGATAAGTATTTAATTGATGAAAAAGATTTAAAAATTAAGTAAGTAATAGGTTTATTTGATTATATTTGTAAAAGTTACTTAGCATTTGTGCTTAACAGTGATACGTTATTCGGTATTTTTATAACAAAAAAAAATGGAAAATAATTGCCATGATTGCACTACTGGGAGTACTCTTCATTCGAGCTTTACACTACCAATAAAAAAGGGTCGAACACAAAGTCTTTGACCTGTCAAATGTGAACGCTTTAAAAGAAAACTACAAAGAGAACTATAAATTGATAATAAATGAGATTGCTATGGTGCTCTACCTAACGTTATGAAAATTTTATTATGCGCCTTTAGTTTAATCAAATATTATAAACTTTGCTTTGGTGATTGCATAATTATTTAATTTAGTGATCTAAGGCAGTTGCCACCATTGTCTAAAACAACACACGGGAAATACTTCTTTCTTCAACCTGCGACATAAACGTCATTGATTGGTATTGTATATACGATGATTAAAAACATTTGAAGTTAACTTCTGGCATCTACATATTGGGTTTTTGTGAATTATGTAGGTATATCAAATTATGAGACTAGGGACTGACACTGAATTTGTGTATATCACAATCTTAGACGTCCGGCATTGACATGACAATGCAGCCACTGCCAATTTTAAATAGTCGACGAATAGAAGTAAATGAATTTTATATTTACTGCTTAACTTTAAAAAAATATAAATAAAAGATGACTTTTTGAGTAAGTGCTAGTTTACTATAAAATTTACATACATTAGAGATATTTATGTAACGACTTGATTTAACTTCACACATTTTTGCGAAAATTGAAGCCCATCTGTAGCCTTGACCCCACTGGTAAAGTCTTTATATGTCTTACTAAATCAATCTTTTAGATCGACGCAAGGTACTTAATAATTCCCACGATATTAATTCCCTTACTGAAGTAACAAGACTACGGTATATACCGTCTTAAAATACTAACTAAAAAGTGTGAAATAAAAATGGGTAAATTTAAAAAATCAAAATACCCGACTGCTTAATTATTCTTCAAATAAAAACTGAAAAGAAAAAAACAAGTCCAGTAGTCTATAATCAAAGCTACTTTAACAGTCGGGACCCACTGTGGAAAAATATTATGTATTCTTGAATATCTAATGGGTCCCGACTGTTAAAGTAGCTTTGTTCCTTAATAACAGAATTATAGACTACTGGACTTGTTTTTTTCTTTTCAGTTTTTATTTAAAGAATAATTAAGCAGTCGGGTTTTTTGATTTTTTAAATTTACCTTTTTTTTATAAGTCCATGATTATAAGGATCTTCTGTATACGGCATTCATCTTTCAACTTTTGTACTTTGTTACTCACCTACTTTAAAATTTTATATCCGTTTGTTTTAATTAATGGCATCTCCTGCGAGGCAAATCTATACGCCGACATGGTCCTAAACGAAGCCAGATTTGAATATTTATGGAGTAAATATTAATCAGCGAATTATCAAGCAAAATACATTTGAGATTGCCTACAAGATTTTAAGAAGCTTACGGATATCGAGTGAAGATAAAATTAAACGGTGCTAAGTATAAATTTATAAAGAAAATAGCCCAGCACTCAATCAGGTAATATAAGTGTAATAAGGATTACTAAATAACCAGGTTTGTAAAACTTTATGTTTTTTTGCACTTGTAATTGTAAATTTGTGTCATTTTACAATTGTAATTAATAGCTACATTATTTATTAGTTTA